ATGTCACATCATTCATTTATAATCTCATGCATGTGTACCTATATAAGTTACCATGGACTTGTATTCACTATAAATTATAATTCTACCATCATTCATCGCCAAAATTACCTAATTTGAATCTTACATGAATTTTCTCCATTTTTCTTCAAGATTGCATAATTCCAACTCTTTTAAACTTCACAAAACCAATCTTAAATATCTTTCCCATTCTTTAACTCTAAAATTTCCAAAAAAATTAAGAACTTCCAAAAAGATCACAAGAACATTCAAGATTCCATATTATTCATCAAGAATCATCCAAAATTGATCAAGAATTATCAATAATCTTTAAGATTTATTAAGATTCAATCTTTCCTTCAAGTTCTCTTATAAAACAGAAAATTGAACACATTAAGAGTAAAAAAGAACATTATTTTGCTAAGAACTAAGCAAAAATCAATCTATAAAGCATTAGAAATAACTCTATTTCATAGAGTTATCAGGATATTAAAATTTAATATGTAACTATGAAGTAATCAAAATGATATTTTCATAATTATGTTTAAAACGTATTATAGTAATTTCGGCTAATTATAATATGAGGGTATTTTTGTAGTTATGGTAATAAAGGTATTATATAAAACAATCAATATTATTATTTTTTAAAAATTATAGTTAGAAAGCATTATAATAATTTTAGACAATTATAATATGAGAGTTATTTTCCTTATTATGGTAAGAGGGTAATTTTGTAATTATGATTAGAAGGTATCATAGTAATTTTTACAAATTATAATGATGGGTATTTTTTATAATTATAGTAAGAGAGACACTACAGTAATTTTGGACAATGATGGTAAGAGGGCATTTTTATAATTATGGTTGTTTAGGCATTATAGTAACTTTGACCAATTAAGATATGGAGTATTTTAGTAATTATGTTAAGAGAGATATTACAGTAATTTTAATTAATTATAGAAAGAGCGGTATTACAGTTAATTTTGATACATGTAATTCAATTATCAAGTTATTAAAAGGATAGTATGATTATTTATAAAGGGATAAATTTCATATTATTGTATAAATGTTAAAATTTAATGCATAATTATAAAATAATCAAAAGCTTATTTTCGTAATTATGCTCAAAGGGTATTTAGTAATTTCAACGATGAGAGGTATTTATATAATTATAATAAGAGAGACATTACATGAAACAATCAAAAAAGCTTTTTTTTTTTTTTTAATTTTGGTTAAAAGGTATTATAGTGATTTTAGAAAAATACAATGTTAGGGGTATTTTCGTAATTATGATAATAAGAGTATTATAATAATTTTGATCAATTATGATAAGGAAAAAATACAAAAAAATATGGCACATAAAATTACTATTAAGTGGATTTTACAAAAAAAAGTTAAACCTAAAAAAATTTTTATTAAATATTTTTTAAAAATTTAAATATGGAAAGAGTTAAAAAAGGGAAAAAGAAAACACTTTTGATATAAGTGGTTCTCAAATATATACAAAAAATATCTCTAAAAAAATATAAGTTTTTATTTTTAAAAGTATTTATTAAATAATTTTAAAGAAAACTAAAGAAATAACAAAGGAAAAAAATTAAAATCTAGAAAATGACCTGCATAGCCAAAGAAAATGGAACCGTAGACGACAGATCATTCAATTGTATTAAAAAAAAAAATCCTAACCACTTTTTTTGTTTAAAAAAAATAAAAAAGAGTATAAAAAGAAAAAAAAATTGGTGGAAACGTGTTCCACACATTAAAATATAATCTTTACAAATATATATTTTTATAATTTTAAAAAATAATTAATTTTTTAGAAGGAAAAGGTCAAAAAAAAAAAATTGGTATAAGATAAGTCCAACTTTAAAAAATTTAAACGAGAAAAAAATTATTAAATATATAAAAAATTTTTAAAAAATAAAAAGTACTTAAAATGTATTAAAAAATTTAAAAAAATTAAAAAAAATTTTAAAAACAAAATTAAATGTCACGTGGCATCCGAGTTAAGATTCATACAAAAAAATTTATCTAACGATAAATTTTAAGAAAAGAAAAATATTTTGATAAAGTGGGCCCCATCAAAAATAAAAATTTAAGAATATATTTTTAAAATTTTAAAAACTGAAAAAAATTGAATAAAAAATAAAAAGAAAAAAAAGGAAGAGATGTGATTGCGTCAAGTGGCAGGGAAGTTGGAGAGTACATTAGCAAAATTAATAGTATAAATATATATATATAGGTGCTTTTTTTTTTTTTTTTTTTGAAAATACTCGAGGGGAAAGTTAAAAAGAGATAAATTAGGTTAAACTTTATAATGCAAAGAGTTAGAGTCCCACTAGAATTACACTACCCAGGTCCCGATTAATTAGGGAATTCTTCCGATTGAAGAAAATACTTATTGATTTATGGCCTTTATTTTATTATTAGCAGCAAATTAATTTTTGAGGAAAAAGAAAATATTTTTTTTTATCCAATGCATGTCATTAAATTCATGCAATCAAATTCATTGATGTGTATTATTCGCAACATGGCAAATATAGTTGTGACTTTTTCAGGCAAACTTTTCATGTCCCTAATTGTAAATCTACAAATCAGTTCATAATATCTGGTGGAAAAAAGAATTTATAGATCTACAAATCAGTCCATAATACATGGTGGAAAAAAGAAATTTTAAAGCGACAAAAAAAATAAAAATAAAAATAAAATTTAAATGTAATTAGTTATCTAAACTTCACGAATTCAATTGTTCATCAACCAAATTCTTTTTCTTTTATTCTTTGATTATCGATACTGTAGTTATTATGCACATGACCAAAATTTTCTTCTGTCAGCAAAAATAAAAAAAGCATAAACAGTAAATTACGTATTATAAAAACAATACAACATTATTCATTTTATGTGGAACACTATTTTTATGTATCAAAACTAAATTCTTAGCATTCATCTCAAGACACTTGTATTCATACGCAATCCATTTGGTTTTTCCACTCGCGGCTGTTAGCCAATGAAACGATAAAAAATTAAAAAGAAAACAATTATATACTTCTAATAGTTTTATATTTTTAACTACTTTTGATGCACATGCAATAGCGCATGCGATACACGGATTAATTTTTTTTATCTATTTATTTAATATTATTTAATTTACTATATAATTTGAATTGATTTGTTAAAATTAAGATAATTATATATTGATATAAATGTTAATTAAAAAGTAAACTATGAAAAAAGATAGTAATAAAAATAGTAGTAAAAGAAGCTATATATATATTTTTTCTTTTTCATTGTCCTATTTTTATTTAATATAAAAATAATAAAAACATGATAAATAAAAATTTTAAAAAAATTATTTGTCCAAAAAATAAAAAATTGTTGATTTATGACTTACAAATTTAAGATTTATATAAAGAAAAAACATTAAACATTAAATATGATATTCAATATAATTAAATGAAATACTAAAAAGATTTTATTAATTACAACTTAATTAAAGAAAATATTAAAGAATAGATTTGATAATTATAAATTGATATAATTATTTTTCAAAGTTTTTTTGCCGCAAAATAAAAATAGATTTGGTTTTATTTATTTTTTAATTTATTAAATATCTTTATTTATTTTAATTATTTTCATTTATACTAATTTATTAGTACATTTTATTCTTTTTTTTGTTTTTAAGAAATAAAAATTTTTAAAATGATATTGAAAGTTATGCAATTTAAAAAGATATAACAATTAATATATGCACTAAAACTTAAATAAAAGTTCAATCTATATACTCTTAAACTATGTTTTTGTTATCTTATATTTTATACTCAAATTTATATTATGCTTTGCTTTTTTAAAAAACTTTAATTTTACAATCCTACATATCCATATTGAGAAATACAAATAAGAAAATATAATCATATAGAAAGATTAAAACGTGGAGGCTTGAATTAAAATGATTTTTTTAAGATATAGTATATTCTACATATAATATGAAATAGTATTGTTAAGCAATGAAATTTAAAGCAATGATTTTGATAAGGACATCAGTGTAATAATTAAATAGTTTAATTGATTTCTAACAAAGTATTCAATTAGAATAAAAATATACAAATGAAATGTAAATTATAAAAGAATTATACTAAAATAAACCTTTACAATAGGAAAAGCAAATTGGAATATAACATTAGGAAAGAAAATTCATATTCTTTTTTATTTAAAAAAAATAAAATTTCATTATAATCTTAAATTCACTTTTAAAGATAACCAAATAAAAAAGTTACAAATATTAAAAAGAACTAAAAAAAAAAACTATTTAGACAAACTATCATGTTCAATTTATTGATTAATTATGATAAACACACTATTATATAATGTGTAAGTAATAATATAAAAAAAAGCTTGTATATACAAAAATAAAATTTCAAAGAGACATAACAAATCAAATAGGCACCGGCAATAAATTAAAAGAAAATTTCAAAAAAAATCAAGATTAATATGATAATTAACTTGAATAATAAAAAAAACAAAAATTAAAGAGAAAAAAAAAAGAAAACAAGAAACAAAAACGTGTAACACAAAAAATAATAAATTAAAGTTAATAGATATTCACATATTTTTACCTTCAAAAATCATGAGTGCTACTGCTTTCTTCTGTATTTTTGAGACCAAGTTCACTTTTAGCATAATCTGCCACTACCTTTACGGTTGAGATTAAATATTATGGAGGTTTTAATTTTAAATGCATCTCACTTGCTGTCATTTATTTTGGCATAATTTGTTAATTATTTAGTGATTTTTTTATATCAAGATAAAAAAAATATTTGTAAAACTTTAAATTAAGATATGAATGCATTTTAAATTGAGATAAGATATTTTTTTATTTTAAATCATAAAAAAAGAGATAAGAAAGTCGGTAAATCACAATTTTCAATCATAAATTCTAATTAATTTAAATTTATAAGGCTATTTTTTATATTAAATTTATAAAACTATTGATTTAGTCTGTATGATTTTGATGGTACATGAATTATATAGTTTTTAAGATCTAGTGACTTGACTTTAAAAGCTATAATTGAATCTTTTCAACCATAAATTTTAATTAATTTAAATTTATAAGGCTATTTTTCATATTAAATTTATGAAACTATTGATTTAGACTGTATCATCCAACAAAATAAAAGAACAAAAGATAAAATCACCAAAGAAACTATCTGAGAGAGAAAGAATAGATCATCAGTATCTCAAAACTAAAATCTATTTCAGTGTCCCATCCTTGCATATCGAAGGCATATAAAAAACAAGAGAGTACTCGAAAATGAAGTATAGTACTTAAGCACTGAAATAAAATCTATCCAAGAAGTCCAGAAAAGAGTAGAAAAATCTTAGCATCTGTCTAAAAGGAGAACAAGTATCTCAGAAGCAAAGATATTCAGACAAAGTCTTGGAAAAAATCGAAACTGTAGAAGTGCTAAATCATTCATCATCAAATTAATATTGCAGACCTTTTCATTCAGTTTTTGATAATTTATCTCCAATATCACTAGGTTAATTGACTAACTATGAAGCAGAATGCATGGCCTATGGCCTGCTTAGTCAATGAATTCAACTAAAGAGAAGATTTAAGACAGAAGGGAATGCAGGTGAAGGAGGGAGAGAAGATCAAATAAGAAAAGGTTTTAACCTGTGCTGAATTTATGAAATGAATGACTGTCCAAGCTTAGATGTTTCTGAAGCTGCATAGAAGGAAAATTCAAATAAAAAGAAGTTAGGAATAAAGCAACATGAAAAAAATGAAACAAAAAAGTAGTAAGTGCAAACTAATACCACGTAAAAGTTTTGAATCTATTTTTAGCATTATCAATACCCATAATCCAGCAAAGAGTTCTCCTGCTTAACTAAAAGCAAGAAAACCAAGAATTCTCATTTATTTTCAAGAAACACAGAGATTGGAAAGTATCTAAAAGTGTGCTTATTTTTCTAATAATTATCAATTCTTATCCAATTTTTTTGGCACAAAAAAGTTTAGAGTGAGGGGAGGCTTCCCCATTCCAAGGCCAGGATAGACCACAGGCCTCAGAGAGGACTTATATTGGATTTATAGATCGCCCACCAAGAGGAACTGCCAACATCAGGATTCGAACCAAGGACTTACAATCAAAATATTTGAACCTTACCAACTCAACCAACCCCCATTGGCATTCTTAACCAAGTTTAATGGTACAAATCAACGACTTCAAAAGACTAGAATGAATTGAGAGTGACAAACAGTGGCTCAAATATGAATGGTGACCCACTGTATTTAATAATCACATATAGCTTTCACTTATTAAGAAAAAGATCTCCAAAGTACCCTTTAGCAATGAAACCACGGCATTTGCCCATACTATCTAACCCCTCAAAAGGACATGAGGAAACAATGAAGATGAATAGTCCTTAATGACAGGTATATTCAATCATCCTCATGTATCAATCTCAAAGGATGAAAGAATACTTGCTGTCATTAGCTCAGTTCACAACTCTGAGGAACCAGTCACATTATAGTTAGAAACTTCTTTCTCCGTGAAGGGTAGCCAAACACCAAATTAGTACCAAATGAGAATCTAAACATGACTAGCACACTTGGAAAATGGAACTTTCAACAGAAATTCGTGGACAGTCAAAAGTTTTTATGCTTTGGTTTTGATCACTAAAGCAAAAGTGATAAGAATGAACACCCATGACAAGCACTGTTGAGAATGGAATCACAAAATAATGAAGTTCCAATTGTTGGAGAGGGACTGATTCTAAGTTCCACTTCTTATAGAAAAAGTGATTAAAAAAAGGTAAAAACACTATAGCATTTTAAATTAGTCAGTGTTGGGACTTTGCAATCTTTCCATAGACGAAGAGTGATTCAACAATAAGTAAATATACCTGGTTCATTCTTGAAGTATCAGACAGAAAGTTTTTCTGGTTCTCTAGAGAGAGAGAGAGAGAGAGGAGAGAGAGAGAGCTGTATTGATTAATTATATTTTAAAAGTTAGGAATCCCTGTATTAAAGAAAACCAAAAACCAAAGAGCTAACCAGAGTCAACAGCTTTAATTTCCCTAGTGGTAGCATCAGTTGACATCAATGGTTTGATGAAGAATTGTGCAAATCTGAAGAGCAAATGACAGGAAAACACCCAAACTCACATACACTACATGCACATTGATGAAAATAACAGCTAAAGAGAAAATTGCACAAACAGCACCTACCAGTCCAGAGCCTCTTCTAAGCAATTGCTGTTAACATCAAAATAATAGTCGGTCCACTCAGAAGCTGTGAAGGCATTTGTGCTGCCTCCATGCTGTAAATCAGGAAGATAAACTGCTCATAAGTTTCATATCAAAAGAATATTATCAAAAAACAAGTGATACAAATGATTTACTTCATCATAAGCCTCTTGTTTTCTGAGCTTATCCCTTTAAAATTATTATTCAAATTTAGCTAATATGTAATTAGTTACTAAATGAGATATACATCTTAAATGAATCATTTAGAAATTGACTTTCAATTTCTTTAAGATTGCTAATCTACTCTATGTATTTCTCTAATTCTAATATTAATAAATTATTTAGGCCAAAACGTTATCAAGAATTTGAAATACTAACTCTTTTATTTATGCTTCAAACATTATATTTAAAATTTTGTAGTTTAAAAAGCTTTGTATTAATAAAATAACCATTCATGTGCTTATTGAGGATATGGTTTTATATTGGGCATACTGACGCCCCAATAACTAATCCATGCAGCTGACCTCACATAGTGAACAGGCACAGTTGTTGTAGTAACACGATTATTTACGTGTGATGCATGTTACTAGGGAAGGAAAACAACTTGTATCCGATAAGTCCTGACTCATCTTGAAACGATAGGGGCAGGTTTTTCTTAATCAAAGCCAGGTCAAGGCAGGGTGGTTTTCATATTAATAAAATCAGGGTGGGTTAGAAGCGGGTTTAAGGTGCTTTATCCTGACCTGACCCGCCCCATGGTACATATATAAATATATAATTTTTATTATTTATTTAATTTTACATTATATATATATGATTCTATTAATAAATTTATTGTTTAATATCTTAATTTAAGAGATTAACTTAATAAAATACTATATTTATACATAATTAAAATGTAATTTATATTAAAAATAATATTTTATAAAAACTATACTAAATTAAAATCATTAAATAACTTCAAATCGAGTTTAGTTGGATGCGAGTTATTTATATGTGTGTGTCGGGTGGAACTATTAGGGAGTTGGGTTGAAATCGGAAGATAAAAAAAACCCCACCCCAACCAACCCCATTGCCATCTCTACAAGTGACAATCCACTAAGTAAGAATGATTAAAGATACTAAGAACCCTAATCCCTTTCAAACGTGGTTTTTCAGCATTTCCACATGCTAATGTAGCAAGTTAGTATTTAAAACACAACGAACACCATAACTTCAAAACAACCATTAAAACTAAATGCATGTATCAATAGATGAACATATTGCATTTAAGAGAATTAGTACCTATGCAATGTAATTCGAAAACAACCGTTAAAACTAAATGCATGTACCATTAGATGAGCATATTGCATTTAAGAGAACCAGTAACTCTGTAATGTACTTAGAGTAACTATCTTCCAAGGGATACTTTTCACTAGCATAAAACAACATGTGCTCTGCAAGCAACGCCAACAAGGTAAACAGAAAGAAACTAAGTAAAAATCATAAGCATCCCACGAGCATGCTATTCTTATCCAATTTCTAACCGAAGTATTTCAACAATAAAATCAATACACAGCAAACAATAACAATACTAATAATAATCATAAAATCAATAAGCTTATTTTTATGATTTGGGTGAAGGGTCTATTGAACAAAGCTTTTCGAGCAGGGATACATGCAACTACGTTTGATCAAATGACGGATCCAAATCAATAGCCGGATGCAAATCAATAATCTTATTTAATAAAATACCAGCAATAGAATTACTTAAGTATAATCACACATTGTCAAAACTCAAAGTGCAAAAAACAAAATTTCCGGGCAGTTCACAAGTAAATTAAGAAGATAAAATAAATGGATAAAAATAGACAGAAGAAATACCAAGAAAATGGGCAAGGCCTTCAAGGCCGACGGTGTCACAGAAGGAACCAACACCCACACTCATAGAAGCAGCACACTATAACATCAAAAAAAAAAAAAAAAAAGAAATTAGAAAAAAAAAAGAACTTTTAGGAACTAAAGAAGGCGTTGAAAGATTAAATTTACCTTATCGGTGTCGGGATCACTGATGAGGAGGACTTGAAGGGAATTTCTAAGGACGATTCTCCAATACTCTCTTTTGTCCGTTCTGGGCTTTATAATCTCCACATCTTCTCTCCCGACGGCTATCTTTTCAGTTCTGTGACAGACAAAACAGCAGTCCGGTCTGCTTTTTTACGTTTGGTTTTAGAGAGGACCAGAAATAGGTTTCTTGGTTTGTGTTGGGGCCCGGAAGAGACATCATAAAGAGAGAAAGAGGACCATTCGGTACAGGTGCTAAGGGATTGGTTCGAATCGATTTGGTTCCGTTATTTAGCGTAATGTATAGTATTTTAAATTTTAAAAAATTGATTGAAATTCAAGCAAATATTTTTTAAAATCGAATAAAATTTTATGGATTTAATTTGCTTTTGGTTCAATCTTAAAAATTAAATTATTTTTATATATTTAAATTAATTTAAATAAAAAATAATTTTTATTTTATAAATTTTGAATTTTATATAAAAATTAATAAAAATATATTTCTATTCAATTTAAATATGTTTAATTTTTTCATTTCATGATTTGAAAATTAATTTGAATAAATTAAAATATTTAATATTAAATTCAAAATCCAATCAAATAAAAAAATTAATCCAAATCAAATTGAATATTGTAATTTTAAATTAATTTTTTTCTTGATTATTTTCAGCAACCAACCAGTATTTATTTGTTTTTATATGTTAGGCGGTACTTATTTATTTGTTTTGTTTTGTTAGCCTAAAAATATTACTCCACTTATCATCTTTCCGTGCCGTTTAGTTCTCATTTTCTTTCTGTTCAATTATTATGTCTTGGGCTCTTAAATTTTGTGTTGTGCCAACAGTGGCTTTCAAAAATTAATTCTTATAATAATATTTTATTTGAAAATATGAATTTGTAAGAGTAAGTTTCGTTTAAATTTATTACATAATTTTGAGAATGAAATGCTCGTATTATATAAATTAATAATTAATCATGATTCAATATATTTATATGTTGGATTTTGTACAGACTCAATGTTTTAAAAGCCAAATAAATACACTTTGATTTTGTAAATTTACTCAATGATGACGAATCCAATATACATATATGGCTCATTGACGAGAAAATATCACATAAAATTAAATTAAGGAAATTGAAATTATAATGGAGTTGTATATTGCCATTTTTACAAGCCTAATTTACATGCATTTTATTGATGAAGAAAAATATTTAAAAAAAAGGAAAAAAAAAAAAACATAAATCGAAAACAAAGAGAAATAAGAGAGGGAATACATCCAACAACTGGATAAAGCTTTGAACACTAATCTTCCAATTAGACAAAGCTTGCTGACTGAGGAGAAGGGTGTCGGCTGGCTTCTACTCCATGTCAGCCCCTCTTGTTTAATTTTTTTACAGCTTCATATGGATAAAGCTTCCTTTAGACGAACCGTAGTGAGGTTGTGATGTTCTAAAATTCAGGATATCATGGATGCGAACGTACTGCAGTTCAAGTGGTTCGTTTTTCTCTGATTTGTATTCTGTTAGATGATTCTTCCCGTAGATTCGCACACTTAGAGTCTTCTTTCGGGGTGAACCAACTTTTATATATTCATCAAAAAAATCTATGAATTCCTGTTGTGTAAGCTGTCTTAATATTTCAACCTGCAGCTCAAAATACAAACATAGACGGTAAGACACAAACTAACTATCAAAAGAGTTGCTGGCTTTAAATAATAATAATAATAATAATAATAATAATAAAAAGGAGGTACTTACCTGGGCTTCTTTCCTATCAAACTTGAGGGTGCCATTGACGATCTCCTGCCAGTAATATATAGATTCGTCCCGTAAGTTTTTGTGCTTCTCCGTGTCCATATCAATCAATGCATTTACATTACTCTATACAACAACTTCAACAGTTAGTAATTAATCTAAAATCATCAAAATTTGAGAGAAGTATTAATCCAAAATCATCATATTTAACAACAAATATGAAGTCCAAATTCACAATCAGCCCAAACTTTCCTCCCCCATTTAAACTCAAGAGCCAACAAAAGCAAATCTCCATTAGAAATAATCTATAATCCTCAATATTAGCTTCAGCCACCCAAACTAAAATCCAAATACCTCGTAATAATCTAATCACAACCTAAATAACCGAAACACCTTACCATTCAAAGAAGATCAACACTTTTGTTTCAAAGAACAACACTTACAACTCCACCAATCCAACTCATATCCATACCTCAAAGACGAAAGAAAAATACAATCTAATGCACGTCCGAATAGAAAGCAACAGGTGAAAAGCAAAACTCACAAACCAAGCAAATGAAATACAAATAAATGAACAGAAAACAGTGTTTGACTTTTAGGAATAAGCAAAAAAGAAAAAGAGAATGATTTTCCTTCATATTTATACAAAGCTTTTATATGAATTGGTTTTACTTTTTAACTATTAATTTAATTTATCTCGTAATTATAAAAAAAACCATAATTTAAAAGGAGAAAGATAAGAAATATAATAAAAACAAAAAATCAAATAAGATCTCAAAACCAAAAATAAGAACACATTCATATATACTCCTCATCAACAATATTCAGGTATTTTCATTTACTAGATATTGGCACGACGTAAGACTTTTAAGATATCAGAAAAAAAAATAAAAACCTTTTTTTTTTCCTGATAAAAGATATTATTAGCTTAAACTTCTATGATGTAGCCTAAATTGTGCGTTAGACCTTTGTTATGCAGGCTAAAAACATAACCTCTTACTAATATTAGTAAAAAGAGAAATAATCATAATGTGCAAATGAATTGTCCATATCTTACCTTAAATTCATCGCTGGTCATTTCATAAATTTTATTCTCAAACTTCTTGAGGAATTCCTCAACTCTCAAATCAATCTCTCTTGGACTCTGTTAAAAATGCCTAAACTCTTTAGAAGATGAAGTAAACAAAGCAATATATGTTAGGCAATAAGTTAATTGATTACATGGGTCCCCTTTCGTTTGTTTCTTTGCTTGATAGGACAGCAAAGTGAGAAGATGAAAATGAGTAAGGGGAAATGTGGGATGAAAATAATTTTCATTAATGTTCCGTAAGAGAAAAAAAAGAGGAAAGAAAATAAGAAAATAATTATTTTTCACTTTTATTAAAATAACAAATAATTCAAAATTAAAAAGATAAGAGGAGAGAAAATGAAAAAAGTGTAAACAATTCTTCATATTTACAATATTATCTATCATTCTTTAAATTTTGCTTTTTAATACGTTTTTGTTTTCTTATTTATTTATTTATTTTCTTTTAATTTTTACATATTTCTATTTTTTTTAGACAAGCCAATTTTATCATATTTCCTACCAAGCACATCAATGAAAAAAAATGTTTTTCCATATTTTCACTTTTATCTTCTCATTTTTTATCTTTTCATTTTTCTATGTACCTATCAAGTAAAACCTGCAACGATAGTTGACTTAGAAAAATAGAGATTATTGGACGAAAGGGAATTTGAATTTCTATACATTGTATATACATTGTGAATAGAGTTTTTAAATTTCGTACTTGGAATGTTGCCACATCCCATTACTTTTTATAGTATGAATTTAGTTTTTTAATAAATATATCATTATTAGTGGTTTTTTTTTTTTTTTTAATTTCCAACAACGGAATTAAATAGTTTCCACATATACCTGTAAGGTTATAATGTAGAAAATAAAATTAAAAAAATTAAAAAAATATAAATGATAAGTTTTTAATTCCACTTGTAATTTTTAAAAACTTTACCTTTGTATAGAAAATAATTTTTTTGATTTTTTAAATATATCCTAATATGTGGTAAGCATATAATAGATTTGTACAAAAATGAGGTTGTGGACAAGCATTTTCAAGCTCAAACTTAACCTGCTCTAACTCCATTCAAGATATTATTTAATTAATAAAATTGAATTCTAAAATAGCTTTAAAAATATTATAATATTATTATTTTTAAATATTTTAATAATATTTTAAAAATTTTGAACCTTTTGAACCCGACGAATTGGGCCAAACTGATTTTTCAAAAGATCAATCAGACATGACTCGATCTGAATCATGTACAAATCTACCCTCTAATCTTGTTGATGAAAATTTTAAACTCCGCTTTTCATTGTGTACAATTTTCACCGTGTGTACTCGAAATCATTTGTATCAAAAATCAGAATCGAAAAGAAACCACATTGCGTACCTTCACTGTCGACTGAATGAGAAATGCCACTCCATGAATTCCAAAATCATTGCTAATTATAATAGGAGAAAATTAGTAAAACAAAAAATATACTTCCCTGCTTATCAAATTGAATATCCATGTATTTTTTTATATGTCCTAAAATTATATGCCTTGTTTTTCCTCTTTTTAGGTGCGTATAGCTTTATTACTTTTTATTTTATATTAACTTTTATTTTTTTGCTTTTTCTTTTTAATAATAGTAACTATTGAACAACATTAGTGTAAAAAATATAAACTTTTAATATGGTGAAACAAAAGCATAAAAGTCAAATCAGGAATATATATAGGATTCATGTGTTTAATAAGTTATTTTTTATACCTTAAATAGAAGTAATTATGGTACCCAAGTTGCTCAACTGATCTAAGCTGATGATAGGCTGGTTCCTTTGCAATAAGGTGAAAAAGCTCAAGTTTTACGTTCAATACAAAATCATCTCGATTAACCTATAATATTCAAACATTATTCACATTAGAATTGCATAAAAAAATCTGATCAAAATGTAACCTTATCTTAGAACATAACAAAAGCACAAAAAAGATAGGAGATTGAATGAGGGTAATGAGGGCATGGATGGGTGAAGATAATGATTTAATAATATATTCTAACACAGATATTGTAAAGTTGCATTTTATATACTAGAATTTGGTATACCCACTATGTGAGTGTTTTTTTTTTTTTTTTTAAATAAAGTTTGGAAAGAGAAGTTACCTAGGTAATTTTTTTCACGTAGACTTGGATGATTTTTAAAAATTTTTAAATAAAAAATATATTATGTAAAAATATAAAGAAACATAAACATCTCCTATGTTACATATTTATTTTAACCTGAGATAAAACACACCACTTGTTAAAATCATGATAAGTTTAACAAATGTAAAATCGTATATATATAGCATTATTCAATGAAGAAAAGTAATATATAAATATTACTTTTTTTAACCCTTAAATCAAAATTAGTAAATCTAAAAATATTATTTTAATTTAAATGAAGCATGAATTTAATTTTTACCTAAAAGCCTAAAAAATGTAAAAATGACATCAACATAAATGAATTCTTACTCTATATATATAAATATAAATTTATATACATGTGCTTTAAATAAATTAAATTAAGTTAGTAAAGAAAGTATCAAGTAATCATCTCTAAGTACTAAAGTTGCTTGAAATTAAATTGCAACTATGAGAGCTAAATATAATGTAGAATATTTTAAACTTTTGATATTTCACTTTTGCAGGAGCAAAATATGGATTAAATTAATTAACTTGAATTCTACTAAGATGTTCGATCTCAAAGCATTTTTAGGCTGCGATTCTTCCAATATATTTATTACTTAACCATAACTTACAAAGAAGGATAGATGCAAACATTTCAAAAGTATCACCCATAACAAAGTCAAGCATTTTTTGTTCTCCAAAATAAGCATATATAATTACCTGAATATAATGGAGTATGGCCGAATTCTGATTGTTTGGATTCAGGCCCTTTTCAGAGTATAAATAATTCATGCCTCTTTCAAGTTTAACAACTTCATTAGTGAGATGTAAGGATGTAAACAACGGTTGGCATATCGGGTTTGAACCCTTAAAGAATTTGTCTTCAATAATTTCAACTATTGAAGTCGCTTCTTCACGTTCCATGTTTCCTAATTAAAATGAAAAAAATATATATAACAACATTAATTAATGTGATTATATCCATTTGATCGATATTTTTACAGTTTCTTTTTCTTTATTTTTTTTTACTTTAAAAAAATGCTATAAAGCAAAAATAAAAGGTGAAAAGTAATACCATAATTAATTTAAAATGGTTAGTTTATATAGCAGCACAATTAATCATGCATTGTATCATCTAAAAAAAATACATATTTTCTGTAAAAACCTTCAATTTTTTTCTTTTTTGCTTTTGTATCCAAACGATTTTTTTTTTCAGTAACAAAAATTAAAATAGTAAAATGTCAACCAAATGAAGACTTGGTGTAGGCACATCTCTCAATTAAACCAAATGTCAACCATATTTCAGCTTATGTATCAGGTAGCTAGAGTTTGATAGATAAGAGGATCTTGACTTGGTCTTAACTTTTTTTTTTTAAAGATGTGTTTAATTAGTAAAATTTTCTGGAGTTTTAAACTTTTACTTTTACAAATTTGAGTAGTAGTGTTTTTTTTTTTTTTTTGTCTTCCTTTTGATAGCCTTCACCTTGCTATATTGTACCTTCATTTTTCTAGTAAAATCAGCCTTGCTGAGAATATATTCCAAAATATAAATAACTTCAGCTAGCTCATTATTGGTCGTACAAAAATCTTAAAATTAAATTTCTGTATTCTTGGAATATCTTTCAAATCCAAATTTGTGTTTCGAATTCCAATTTTTTAATAAATTACTTCTTTATTTGGCTGAAAAAAAAAAGTCTTGAAGTTGTTTGTAAAAGTTAATTAATTTTACACTGGTATAGATTGCTCTTTATATATGTGTGTGTGTGTATATATATATATATATGTATATATTTGTTGATTTTCTCTTTTTTTTTTGGTTGATGCAAAGAGAAGGAGAAGAAATATTGAACCAACCTGCTATGAAACACTCCACATAGGTGCTTGAAAACATCATGGGGATAAATTTGACAAGGTCTTCTACTTTCAAAAGAGGTAAAACTTCAAGTTTGTCCTTCCAAGGCCATCGTATGTTGTTCAATATTAATGGGTAGTAGACACTAGCCAGCTCATAGGGTTCTCGAAATTTGAAGTTGTAAATGTCCTTTGTTATCATTTCCTGATGATAAAGAGCAAAAGATGAAATTGTGGCAAAAAAAGAAGAAGAAGAGAGAAACATAATACAAAAGGTTGTTAAATCAACACATAGAAGCAATATGCTTGACTTAATGAAGATAACTTTCATATTAGATGTTTTATTAGATAGTGAGCCAATAAGTTTCCATTTTTCTTGACTTTCCCATCCAAGGTGGAGAGTTACACTCCAAAGCAAGGTCCACAATATTCCTCACTAAATCTTCCAGCTCCCAAAAAATCTCATCCTTTTTTGAGATTTCATTAAAAGCCATCTGAGAATCACTTTGAATCTGTAGAGAAGCAATGACATTGTCCCGAGCCCGCTGTAAACCAAACAAAATTGCCTTGACCTCAGCTTGAAGGAACTTACTACGTGATCGACTTCGGAAATACATCCAAAACAGAGGAGCCCCACCCCAACAGCAAAATACCGAATAATCCCCAAAAAACCAAACTCCGTAAACTAAAAAGAATAAAAGATATATAATATTAAATAAACCTAGAATCCAATCAACTAAAACAACTCTAACAGATAAGCTCATTCAATGAAATCAGAAAAAATATTAGCAGATTACCAATTGATCTTGATGAAAAAAAATCAGCACTCAATGGAAAAGGATCACATCTCACCACCTAGCCAAAACCAAATCACCTCAAGACATATCTGACTTAATTTGCCAGTCAATCTGTCAGACCATTAGCTTCCCTAATTATCAGCAAAGCCAAACCAAAATCATAGAAGCTCCATTTGTGGAATTCCATTACACCAGTTGTATTAAAAAAAGACAATCAAGCTGAAAGTTTTAAAATCCCGTAGCCAAAGACAATTCCTTAAAATGTTTCAGACTTTCAGTAGTTTGTTAAGCTCCACTTTATAAAGCCATTAGGAGGTTCATATAACAAACTAGCAAACACCAATCCCATAATCATGTCTAAACGTATTTCCTCAAGCCACATCTTCCTTTGCCAAAGAACCAACCATGCCATTAGCTTCTGAAAATATATTCTGATATAATCAATAACCAACCTTATCATCAACTTCCAAAATCATGCATCCCCTCCACATCATTCCTTGCCAAAGAATCAACCATGCCGTTAGCTTATCCAATACATTCTAATATAAGCAATGACACCCTGTCCATTAACAACCAGAATCACCCAAAAAAAAAAGCACATTCACAGGTAATGAAACCTGACAGAAGCTACGATTAACACACAACACATACACAACTCACCTCCCTGATTTACACTTGTGAACAAAACAACATGCGTACCCAGATTCTTCTTCCAAGTTGCCGCGACTTTCTTCCCCTTCAAATGCTGCGTCCATCCCACCACATTCTCTCTCTCTCTCTCTCTCTCTCTCAAATAGATTTTATAAAGAACAAAATAATAGTTTTGTTACAATTTTATCGGGCATATTAAGAACATACACCCAGCAAATAAGAAACAAATCAAACCAACCGTTAACTTAAAACTAAAAATTCCTTGCTCCACCGAATATCAATAAAAGAAGAATACAGAGACTCCATCATGGGGAACAAATCAAACAAAACTTCCAAGTAAACAAGAGAATCATTCCCAGTTAGCCACCTAGAATTCAAAACAGATTTTCTTGAATAATCATAAAAAAAATAATAATAACAAATTGACCATCTCCACCAAGCTCATCTTAAACCCGTTCAAAATTCCACATTTTATTTTAATTTATTTAGTAGTACTGACTATTGATATTGATGGTAGATAGTATTGATCGATGATGAAAAGGGTGAGAAATCATAAGTTATGCATTACCTTGATTATAGAGAACTTATCGGGTTTCACTTCAAAATTTGCAATCTTATCAATTACAGTTTCCAGCAAAATGTTCACCTTGTCATTATAACCATCTAGTGTCACCTATAGAAGAAAACCATACTAAGTTAGGAACACAACTTAATTAATAAAGAATAAAAGAAATGATGCACGCTGATTCTACAATCCCTGGACGCACAAACTCATCTAGCGAACGAGCAAGAAAATAATTTACTTTACTTAATTAATTTTTAATAACAAAATAGTCTAAGATTATAATTTTAAAATAAGGAAATGTTTCGTCTTTCGAGCATCCTATCCTAGTCATAATTTTGCATATTTACTTACATGTAGCATGTATGATATGATTATATCATATAAATATTCTATCAATTTCTTTATTTAATCTTATTAATCTTGCTTTTTCAAAACCTTGCATATATATATCAGCATAATGTTTGTTTTTTTTTTTTTCAAATTATGTTGTATGAACTCTTCACTGTATCTTAAAGTATCCGCGTTTGACATTTTTTGAACACTTCATTATCCATGTAGGTATAACACTTTGATCCTCAAAATTAATATAAAAATTATAAAAAAATAGTGTATCCGTGTTTGATACCACATCATGATTTCATGTCATATTGGGTTTAAAAGATTTCCTAAAAATAAATCGAGGCTCTACCAATTACCAATAGACACTCCTATATATATTGGTGTCAAATAAAAATTGAGAGGAGCATTTACCTCAAAACCTCTGTCTGTGCGCCTTATATAACAATCAAGGCCAGCAACTTCAGCGTAGTAAGCTAAAGGATAGAAGATTAAATACGGCTTTTGTCAAGAAGGTGGGCAGTGGAGCTTTTGAGTTTTGAGTAAAGAGCAAGAAAAAAAGGGGGAACGGAGCAGAAAATTAATTGCGATTATCAAAGAATTAACTGCTAAGACAATTAATTTACCGTGTTCATTTAAGTAATCCCTCAACAACCGTACAAAAATGTCTGCAAGAACTTCAGCTTCAGGAGAGATTCTAGCGTGGGGACAGTTGAATTCTATTTTAACAAATGCCTTAGGTAAGGAGAACATTGTATCAGGCTTGTACCACAGTTTTGAATAGGATGACTTTCTTAACAAAACTGGAAACTTGACCTGCTTGATCAAATCGAGAGCTTAATTCATTATATCAAAGTAACTACTAATTAGAGTTGGAACTTGAGATCGATCGATAGAGACAATCACGACAAACTTGATTGAAAGATTCATCAACTAACCTTTTCTCTCGCACCCTTGAGAGAAAAATTTTTGGGTATGAACATATTAGCTGCTGGTAGCTGCAAATCACTAATAGGAGCTGATGACATCCATTTCTGCAATCAAAGTAAAAGATTCCATCAAGTGCCTTTTTTTGCTTGCTGAAATCAAATTAGTTACCACTTACCATAGCCTTATAAACTAGAGACTAGAGAGTATAGCAAACAAACCGACTTCTATAAAATTGTTATATAACAGTACAATGGGAAAGATCAACGGCAACCTCAATCATCGAAGTTGTGACCCTTTCCACAGAATAAGGAGTACCATACCACGGCTCAACCTTATCCGTCTCCCCGTCCAATTTCTTTGACTCCCAGAAGATTCTATTAAAATAAAAGGGAACTTATTAGAGGAAAAAGACTAATATATTTATATCTAAGATCTCCTCTTCGAATGAAAGAAAAAAAATGAGGGAAGGGAAAACGAAAAGAAATAGCAGAAAGAATGGTTTTTTCTTCTAAATTGTTTCGTATGAAGTAAAATAATAATAAAAAAAGCTGATTGAATCGTAAATTAATCGAATTACTAATTTATACAAAGAGATTTATACTTGACAACAAAGTTTGGGGTTGACACATTTCTTAAGTTACATTTAAGCAAAGTAATAAATTAGTAAAATATTAACTAAGGTGACAAACAAGTGGGTTCAAGTTCCGTTATTTTGAATTTGAATTTTTCTGTTTTGAGCAATTCCGAATTCAATTTTTTTTGTATTTGAGTTCACTCGGATTCAAACTATATTCAAGTTTGAATTAGTTTTTATTATTTTAAATTTTATGTAAAATATAATCACTTTCGTATGTTTTTCAATTTCACTTTGGTTTCAGAACGGATTTTTTTTTTTTTTTTGGTTTCATATAGTTTTAGGTTTGAACAATTTCATATTGGAAAGATTGTTTTGGGTTCAGACCGTTATAGATTCAAATTTTCTTGGTAAATCAGTAATTCGGCTAGTTCAAATGCGAGTTTTTTTTTTGCAAGTTTTAGGTTTAGGTTCATTTTGTAACTTTTGATTACTTAAAACTTAAAAATTTATATTCAAAAGCATACCGGACATTCTCTGGTGACAACTCTCTCAGAATCATTTGCATAAGGTCAGGATTGAAATTTGAAGGCAACGATGAGCCTACCAACCAATCTTTGGGTGGATATTTCTGAGAATCCAATTTCAAAGGAATCAAACTTGCTTGTCATCCAAAAAAAAAAAAAAAAAAGCTAGTAGAGTTTCCAACACAAGATCCTCAATACGTTAGCTCTATGCTTATTAGAACCAATCACTTTAGATTTTCGAGAAATTATTTCATAACAAACACTACTTGAAGACTTTGGGATAGATTGAAGTATAGAAGATCTAGAAGAAAATTGTATCAAAATGCTCTACAGTAAAACCAATTACCATAAAACAAGGGAATATATAAAAGGAATTACCTGCATTCTTGACGCGATTTCCTTAACATAATCAATAGGTGGGATTTTGTCTTGATAGTGAAAGTTTATCTCGCAAACAGTTGAAAGCTTCATACAAAAATAAAAATTTCTTATACAACTCTTCGACAAATAGAACCAGCAAGATAGAGTTCTTCCCACATCTCCGGCTTCAATGTTGTTCGAATTGAAGCAAGACAGAATTGATCATAAACATAAAATTAAGCTTCAGATCGAATTCTCAATATTGAAATTCGTCAATTTTCCTAACTAATGCACGGCGCACCGAGCTCAAAGTTGATCACATCTCACATTGCAAAAAGTATTTTTGCAACAATTTCAATGCATACATTTTTTTGGGTGAAAAATATTGTGCAACAGTTATTATAAGAACAATTTGAGTGCATTCTTTTCTTATTAAAGCTTTTTAATAAGAAAAATTTTGAGTACTTTACTACATTTTATACTAAAATTTAATATTTTATGTAATGTATTGAGGTTTAGTGGTTTTTAATTTCAAAAAGTAAAAAAAATGAAAAAGAAAAAGGTGAAAATTTTAGTGTAAGCGCTAAATATGAAATTAAAAGAAAAAATTTAGAGTAGATTTTTTTCAATGGAAAAGAAAACTCATGCACACAGTAATATATCTTAGACTAGAAGAGATTACAAAATTCGGGAGAAAACTTACATAAATTTTTTTATGTGAAGTTTGTTAAATTTCTTTTTAAAAATGATTTAATAAAAAATTCAAACCGATAAATTAATAGAATTTAATGTGAATATCAATAATATGTAAAAAATAATTAAAATATTTTTTATAATTCAAATTTAATTAATACTTATTTAGTGGTAAAAAAATTGTCAATATTTTTACTAAAAGTGTCTCTCTAAAAATATATATAAAAATTTACTAAATTTTTTTCAAATTTTATACACTTGATCTATGTAACGAAACCTTTCAATTTATCAATTTTGATTTTTTTTTAAATTTTTATTTGATCAATTTTAATTAGGAATTTCATGAATTTCATTTAAAAAATACCATTGAAGTTTTTTTCCAAAATTCGATGCAAAAAAGCATAAAATGATGGTATTTAAGTATATAATTCACCTAATGCTTCTCTGCTTTTAATCAAATTATTCATTCATAATGAAACTTAAACATAAAATTTCAAGGTAAATATCATATTTCTAATTAATTTTTTCGTGTGAGACTATCCATTAACATACATACAAACCAGCGTGATTCTACTTTTTTGTTGGAAGGAAACTTAAACAAATATCCAACAGCGAATAGCAAGAATTCAAGGCATATCACAATATAAGAAAAGTGAAAACCAGGGTAGATAGCTAAACCATCATTGAAATTGTCAATAGCATACCTGAGTTCAGCCTATTTACAGCTACAATTTATTCTTAAATTCTTAGTGCTCAGACAAAGTCACATACCTCCTCAAATTCCCGTTTGCAAATACCAGACTCCCTCAAGAATTTGATGTATTTAAAGAGCAACCCCACAATATCCTGCATATGCTCTGAAAATTCAACCAGGGAAAGCTCTATCAGTGATAAAATCAAAGAAATCTATGTTAAAAGACATACATAATGGATTCTTACATTAACCACGTAATATAATATAATATGATATGATATAATATAATATGTCTAGGATCTTTGGCAGAAATCAAATAAACATTTATACTAACCATGACCATCTTCAGTAAGATCAACTGCTACTGTAAAGAAAGAGAACTCTGATGTTATCTCATTTTCATCGGCAAACAATTGCATAGCCCATCCTGCAAATTTTTTGTATATATACATAATTTAGTGGCCTTTTTTTTCAACGATTTATTAAATAATTTTATTTTGAAGTTTATTTGTTATACCAACTGTATAAAGAGACTTTATCAGCTATGATAATTGGCACCCTTTTTTAGGGCCTTCTAATCATAGAATAAACAAAATGATAGAAACTATTAAAGATTTGCGAAATCTAATATTCTTAAAGGGAAAGTAATTCTCCTTTAAATAATTTTACTTGACTAATTCTGAAGGATATTAGATTTATGTGTTGGAGTTGCTATATTTTAATCACATCATTTATTACTGTATTGCCTTTAGTTACATTATTAGTTGAAGTTTGTATGTATATTTTCTTAAGTTGCATAGAGCATAATTGTTATTCTAACTTTGATTATTCTTAAGCAGAGTAAATATAAGAATTGATTTTTACGATAAGATCAATGTGGGGTTGAAAGGTGTGCTAAATTATTTTTGGTTTTATTGTGTACATAATATGTAAATTATTTACTTATTTAACATATAAATTAAGAAAAATATTATGCAAAAATATATTATAATTATTTTCATAATATATTTTTATAATAGACTATGTTTTTCATCTAAAAACGTGGTTTCTTTTCATAATAGATTATATTTTTATCTTAAAAATGTAGTTTATGTTGATTCTACTCATATCCTATGGGTAGCATTTTTTTGTCTTTGTCTCATAATATATTTTCAACAAAAACTATGTTTTTAAAATTAAAAACATAATTTTGTTGAAACTATAGAATTTTTAAAATAAAATTTCTCATAATATGTTTTTAATAAAGACTACATTTTTAATCTTAAAATCATAGTCTTTTATTGAAACTAAAAAATTTTTAAAAAATAATTTTCATATATAATATATTTTTAACAAAAACTACATTAAAACTACATTTTTTATCTTAAAAATGAAATCTTGTTGAAACTATAAAACTTGCGTATATGATTGAATCTCAATTAATTATTTAATTTTTTGGATATTGAAGAGTAAAATAGATCTTAAAAACCATTTTTTTATTGGGCAAAAGATGGAAAAAATTTAAATTCTAGGTGAAATGCAAAAAAACTTTAGGAAGATTAGAGTTTTAGATTCTCTTATTCTTCCCTCTTTGACATTGTTGGAATTCAACATTTTTGTACTCCATTGACAGCACCCTAAACCAAAGGAATCAGATTACGAAAAGTAAAATTTCAAAAGAGAAAATTAAAATTTGCTAACCAAACACCCCTAAGAGGATTTTTTAGATACTACTTGCAATTTAACCTACTCATACATCAAATATCCATACATCGAAAGGTTCCCATTAATGTTGTTAATTTTGTTTTGGTACCAATCGTAGCGGCCGGTAGACTTTAGTTATACAAAAAAGGTATTATTAAGAGTAGTTTTTTGTATCAGACTTGGTATCAGATAATACAAATTGTTTTTATCAGTTTCGACTAGTTTCGGTAAATTTTATTAGATTAACTTATTTCGGTTGATACGTAATTGTGAAACACATTTTGTAATTTTTAACTTATCTTTTGTTGTTTGATTATTTTTTAACATAATAAAAATAAAATTAATGGATAAAATCTCTCTAAAATTAAGTGTCTCTATTTTTTACAACTTATTTTCTTTTACACTTAATTTTTCCATATTTCAATTTTTTTTAAAATAATTGTGCTCCTCTCAAAAGTTTAATAATTCTAACGTCAAAGTTATTTTTTTTGTCTATTTTTTTTTATCTTAATAAATTTTTACATGAAAAAATAAAATAGTTATTTAAATATCAGATAATTGTAGACACTTTGATCTATCCTGGGTGTTTATTTTTTTAATTAAAAAATTAAAAAAATGAAAAATTAGAAAAATTCTAGGGAGGTTGGATTGGTTTGGGATTGTTTATTTGGGTTATTGAATTTGGGATAAATTCAAGATGAAAGTTTGGATTTAAAAGAAAGTAGAATTCCTATTCTGTTTAGGGTTCTTAGGCTCAGAACCCTATAAATACATGCCCATGAATTAGAGGAGGAACACAAAAAATCATAGAAATCAAAAACATAAAAAAAAAAAAAACAGAAAGCAGTAAGAAAATAATTTTTGAAGATTTTTTTGTGTAAAAAAAGGGGGATTTTTCTAAAAAAATCTAGAAAATTCCTAGATTTCTGAAAAATTTCTAGTTTTCAATGAATTTTTCGGTGCCGATTGAATTTTTTGGCAAGTTTTTCGACACCAATTGAATTTTTTTTTGTAGGTTTCCCAGAATCCGATTGAAGATTCCGGCATCGATTGAATTTTTTGGTGAACTTTCAAAAAATTAACCTAGATTATGATGAAATTTTTAGAATCTGGTGAAGTGTTCAACTGGAGTTCATTCGGGTTATAGAGAAAGGAAGAGAAAAGAAAGGGAAGAAAGAGAAGGGGAAAAGGAAACCTGAAGCAGAAAGCTGGAATTTGACTTTTATAACCTTACCAAAACGACACCGTTTTGGGGTTTAAGAAGAACCAAGATCTGTGTATTTTTCATTTGGGTGATTCGACCCATAGTGCTGACCCATTTTTGACTAGCGTTTGACTCGCGCATCAGCCAATCCTTTGAGCTGAGCCAAGCTACCAAGTCGCGTTCTCCAAGCCGTTTTTTCTACATGGAGTCTGGCCATCAAAGCCGTCAAGTTGAGCCATTTTCCTATTTTGTTTTTTTTTTTTAATTTAATTTATTTTTTACATATTTTTGCATGAATAAATTTAAAAAAATATAAAAAATATAAAATTTTTGAGAATAAATAATAATTATTCGATGATGAAATTTATAAAAATTTCAAATGGTAAATTTTTATAAAATTCTTAGGTGAGAAATTTTTGTCTAAATTTGTCCCAAATTGTGGAATAATTTAGATAAAGTTTCAACAGCAATAATTAATGTTTATTCTCAATAAAAAAACCAAAAAAAATAAAAAAATAAAATTTTTTGGTTGAAAATATTTGATAATTATCCAATGATGAGATTCTTAGAAATTTCAAATGATAAATTTTTTAAGAAATCTCTAGGTGGGAAATTTTTTTACATTTGTCTTAAATAGTGAAAGAATTTAAATGAAATTTCAATAAAAAATAATTGTCATATTATTTTCTTTCTGAAAAAAAAAAGAGAATTTCTAAATAGGCCCAAATGGTGAAAAATTTAAAAATTCAAAAAGAGAAAATATTTCTAATTTGACCCTAATGGTGAAATAATTAGATATATTTTCGACAAAAAGAATAATAAATAAACCTTTTTCCGATAATAAAGCCTCTTCAAGAAAATAAATGGGATTCTTGAATATTCTTAAAATGAAAAAATATTTTTAAGAATTCTACCATGTTGATGGAAAATCTTAAAAATTATTTTCAATATTTTGACAGAAAAAATTTAAAACCATTTGAATCAAGACTTTAAGATGAATTTAAAATAATATGGTATCATTTTTTGGATGGGCATATGGGAGTGCTAGAACCTTCCCCACATGTAACCGAACTCCTGGACCTTATTCTAGTTTGTAGACTTGAATCTATTCTTTTATGGACCCTTAGTCAAACTTAGAAGCTCCTTAAAAGGATAGATTCTTTAAGTGGCCAATCATATATAGATAAAAAAGATTGGTAGAAACTTAATTTGTTAAGTCTAGCTATAGATTTACGGATCTATATGTTATGACTGTTTGGCAACTCTACTAGGGATAGCCATAGAGAGTCAAGCCATAAACTTTTAAAATTTTCTTATTCTTTGGTCTAATGGTTTTAAATTTTAATGATTTGTTTACTAACATTTTTGTGTTTTTTGTCTTTTATTTTTAGGGCATGAAACCTATATGTTCCTTCACACACTATCACATGCATTTGCATTATATGAGCTCTATACCCAGGCTCCGTCCCTCTTAAGAGGGAGTAAAGTATCTACGCTTTTGTGAAATGATAATCTCCATAATGGCTAATGAAATACTCTCACTTAAATTGAATCATTTTCGTTGGTAGCCTGTGATTGGTGAAGATTGAAATACCTTACTAGTCTGTGATGAACAATGATGTAAAGAATAATTTGAGAACTTTTAATGGTTAAAATCACTTAACCCTGCATATAGTTCACGCTTAAGAGGCTAGCCTTAAGATAGAGCCATTCCTACCTATTGATAGATGTAACCTGAAGTTAGGACACAAGAAGTGATGGTTTGTGATATAACTATTTTATTTGTTTGACTTTGTGCATTTGCATTATCATGCCATGCATCATTTTCATTGTCATATGTAACATTGTGCATCTGCATCATTTTCATTTCATCCATGAAAGTATGCATTTCATTTATGCATCAATAAACCAAACATAAAGCATAGCATAGCATTTTTTATCATAATTATAGTGCTTAAGGTTCATGGATAGCTCTACCAAGTAAGAACCTCACTTACCAATACAATAAAAGGGCTCAAGCCAGACAAATGAAACAAAAAAATTTCAACCATCTTGAGAAGATGGAGAAAGCCTAAAAAAAGCTTGAAGGGAATTGAATAGGATTCTAGAGGCTTTGAATAAGTTGAACAAGGGGAAGAATGTCAAAGAAAAAGCTAGCCAACAAGACCATCCATTACAAGTGGTGACTGACCCTCTATACCATCCTAGCTTTGAGCTTCATCAAGCTCAGTCCACTCATGATGCATCACCTTAACAGTTCACATACCCTATAGGATATATATACCCTAAAATGCCATCTGCTTCGAATCTGAGACAGTATCAAAGTTATGTAAATCTTGTCTTTACTAAAAAACCATGAAACTAGTACCAATCCCTCAACTTAAACGATCTAAAAGAGAAGAAAAAACTGAGGCCTAAGGAAAAAGAGACTTTGAAAGCCTCAAAAGTTGAACATAAGATGAACTTATTAGAAGAAAGTTTACGAGCTGTGAAAGGAATTAATTTTTATGGTTTCATAGATCTACAAGGCTCTGTTAGTC